CAGTGCCTGTTCCCCGGGGTTCCCATAGCAGCCTGTTCTTGGGCTTCCCACCGTGCTTGGGTTATTGAATCATCATTATGCTACAGCAGCTGTCAGCTTCAAAGCAGACCAGCTTCTGGGAGGTCTAGCTTCAGGCAAAGGGAAGAGAGGGTGTTTGGGCTGTAGTTCATGTCCTCTCTTTCGAAAACAACAGTATTACATATTGATCCTGGGTTAGTGGATTTTTCAGTGTGTTTAACTTTGATTTGGCAGTGCTTAGGTGTCTGCCCCACTTGTACCATGTAAATGTATTTCGAGTTCAGAGTGTAAGATTTATGGTCAGAGGAGCTTTCTGCTGAAGCTGAGTAGAAAAAGAGCTTTCAACAGGTTTTTTTTTTTCATTTTAAATGCAAGCGATGTTTGCATTTATTCCTTCTTTTCTAAAAAGTTTGAGCTTTGTTAAGGTGTCTCTGCAATACTGAAACAGTCACTAAGACAAATTTTTAGTAAGTATAATTGGAGATGTCCAGTTTTGGAGACTCTCAATAAAACTTGATTTGCTGAATGAAATTAAATATTTCAGTCTGATACTAAACCACCTATTTGTCACTGACCAGTAAAAGAGGATTTTCCTCGTCAACCATTTAGGAATAGAAGGAAATGAGTACTCTTTGAATGTAATGGTACAAAATTCCATTTGTGATAATGCTGTCAAATCCAATGAAGCATGGAGTATGCTGTGCAAATCCAACAGAGCATGGAGTATTCTGTGCAAATGAATTGTAATGCTGTCTTGAAACATATGCCAGCATTTTATCTTCCTATACAGAAGAATTGGAGAAGTTAGTTGTTTCCTTGAAGTTCTTTAAACTGAACTGCAGTAAAGTCTTTTCTTTTTCTTCTTCCCCCTTTCAAGGCCTTTGCATCATTTCTTAGCAGTTTAAACCTCATCGAATCAGCTTCTTGCAAATAACATAATTAGGGACTCTTAACAGAGCTTCTGCTGCTGGCCAAGAATATCCCATTATCTGAGTTCTTTCAAGTGAAACTTGTGTGGGAATATGAAATCCTTTAAAATGGATGCTACAGTGAAAGGCAGAAAACGTTCATACAGTGAAATAGCCTGGCTCACAGGGATCTGTGTTCATTTTGCTATTCCAAGCGTTTCCTATAATCTCTTACAAAGACAGATATGTTGTTGGCAGATACACACTGTTTTGGACTCTTTCTGGAACTTTGCAGGGGATATTATCCTAGAGCAACAGAATTGTAATGTTTGTATTGCTTTTCTCCCTCCAAGGTGCAGGAGCTCCACGAGGAGGAAGCGCAGTGGGTGAACTACGACGAGGATGAGCTGTGTGTAAAGATGCAGTTGGCAGACGGGATCTTCGAGGCCTTAATCAGAGACACTGTGGATGTGCTGAACCAGATAAACGAGAAACAGCGGAGGCTGCTGCTTGTCTGACAGTGCTGGAGTGAGCTCAGAGCTGCAGAACCACGGAATCAGGGCCTCCCTGACCCCTGACCTGCTCTCCACCTGCTCGTGCTGCGGCTGGACTTCCACGCACGGGGTCTCAAGGCAGTTCAGATGTGATGAAAGGAGCCTGAACTTGCATCTGCTACCACTCGAGACCTCACTACGGATTTATTGTTTGGAACAAGCTGATCCCTCACTCGAGGCTGCTTTGTGGAGTGCTCAAGACTGTTCGTGTGCCAATGCATTTATAGCACAGAACTGTCAGCGGCTGTCTGGGGCCCCAGCTTGGGGCTTTGACATGTTCGGCTTGTTCCCTGAAAGGGTTGGGTTGAGTTGGGATATTGGCTGTTTTGCTGGAATGGCTGTCAGCCATCAGTACTCAACTTGTCTTTAGAAATGTGAGTAATTTGGAGAAGCAACAATTTGGTCAGGTTTTGGTCATAAGTGGAGACTTACCATACTGAACAGTGTTATAATTTTAACACCTCTTCTCCTGCAGCCCTAACAATGTGCATCGATTCCTTCTGCTCCAGAGCCCATTTAATTCACTTCTCTGTGAAGCTGGTTTTCATCTTTCTTCCATGATGTGGTACTAAGCATGGTGCCAGCCCAGTCCAGGGAAATTAGATGATGTTGCTTCCTGCATACAAGTAAAGAATTCTTGCTGCTTTGCCGATGTAACTTGCTTCGGTCCTGAGGCGGAGCAAGACAACGGCCGCCTAATGTCGAGTGTGAAAGATGAGCCCGTGGACAACTTTCCTCCTACCGTGTAGCACTTCTCTTCCTGGAGCACCAGCTGCTCCCAGATAACGGATACTCAGGATTTTCTCAGGCACGAGACATGCAGGAGTGGAAAATGTTTCCTCACAAAAAATTTGGCCTTCAATCCCTCAGCTTTCTCCCTCACTGTCACCTAATAAATTGGAGAAGCTGTTACTTGAACAATTTAGAGAACAGAGAGTATTCACCAAAGAAAGCGGTGTCTGGTGCTTGACTGTCTGCATGTTTTGTGCTTGTGGGTTTTTTATTTATTTTCAGATAATTTATTAAGTGGGTTATAGGAGAGTGTCCTGTGCAGTTGGCTGCACTGTTTTGTGTTTTGGGACAGACGAACTTGAGAGAGCATCTGGTTTGGAGACTTCCAAAGTCCCATATTCTTCGCACAAAACCTCCAGCTTCTCGAGGCAGATACGAGGGGGGGTTAAGGTGAGAAGAACCGAACCTCAGTGACCAAGGACTAGGAGTGGAGTTTCACCACACCTGGTTCAGAGACAATGGAGAGTTGAGGGCGCTGAGCTGAAAAATGATGTGAAAATTCCCAGCTCCGTTTCCTTCCTTTCCCAGAACTTCTGCACCATGGGCAGCTGTTACATGGTTGGTTTGGTGCTGGATTCAACTGCAGTGTCCTTCTGCTGAGTGCTCGTTCCTAACCTATTCCTCCCGTCCTTGTGTTTTTCTTGGAGGAACACGGACAATCTGGGGTCGAACTCTGATGCCTTAATAGTGGATGTCCCTGTTTGCTAACCTGGGACGAGACCCAGAGGAAAGTCGAATTCTCCAGACATGCTGGAGTGCAGAAAGACACTGAAGCCTCAGAGGTGCCCCAGAGATGCTGTGGCCCACAACAGACGTGGCGGGGAGATCTCAACCATTTTGTTCATCTGCTTGGTTCTTGGGCTCCCCACTGTGCACACCTCTGCTACTGCTCCAGTTTGGTTTCTCTTTTCCACCTTTTTTTTTTAGTTGGGTTGTTTAGTGTTTGGGGGTTTTTTTGAAAGCTATCATTGGAATATTTGCATTTTGCACAATGACACACAGCTGGTAATTCTTCAGGGACAGCACTGGGAAATGTTGGATTTGCCAGAGGTCCATGCAGATTCTCAGATGTAGTGTTGCCAGCACCTCACTTGTGAGTTAATGGGGAGCCATATCCATGGGAGCTTAGTGAGTGGAAGGAGAAGGAGGAGGTAGTGGTGGATAGGGGCACATCCAACGGGCATATGCATGTCTGTCCCGCAGTGTTCTGGCTGGCTGGAAGTCTGGTCGAGCATTGCTCAGCTTTTTTTCTTAAGTGATTCATTTGTCCATGTAAAATGTCATGATGCTGAACCAGGAAGCTCTTAAGACAGAAGCAAACTAAAGCTGCTAGATTTAACCAGCATGGTGTCGCTGATTGGGTCACCACCTCAGATTCCCTTTCCTGGGTGTATCTTTTCAGTAGCAAGGATTGCTATTTTTATAGGCAGCAATTAAGGAAAGAGGACAGAAACCTGCAGTGTAGGTTTGCACCTGGAGCATCAGGTTAGGTTCTGTTCTGTAGATACCATGGTCAGGGTTGGGAAGGTTGCCCTGCATGCCCAAGGCTTTTTGGCCATTCTGAGAGATTTGTGGGGTGTTTCTGGTCTGTCCAACAGCAGGGAAGAGGTTGTACAGTCGGGCCTGACAAAGTACTGTGGTCTGTTGGAGACTGTATACCTGTTTATACTGGTATAAACTGCTGGCTTTAGAACCCTCAACAGAAGCAGTAACTGTTTTTACAGCTGTTTGGACGGAAGGAAGCTGTGTCTAACTGATGGCTTTATTCCTTTGCAGACATCACCGTTTATTTTTGGTAGCAATCCTTGCTAGGAGCAACCCTAAAAAGACTTGAACGTACAGGAATTACCATCTCAATACCTCAAGTGTGTTGAGTTGCTTTGAGTTGAGTGTATGTTCAAAGCCTCGAGTGGGCTGAGTACTCGTGGACTGATCACTGCAGTGGTTGGGCTGGTAATGAGGAGATATGGGGAAGCCTGAGGTCCCACAAACAGGCTGAATTCTCTACTTCTCTCCCCAACTTCCCCTTTATAAGAACAAGATGATATTCCTGGGTCTGGTTATCTCAGTGCAACCACGTTAGAAGATTCAAGGCTTGAGACATTTTGCTGAGACCCACGAGCTGTTCAGGGCAGTGGCTGCCATCACTGGGGAGATGCCGCTCCGTTTTTGGGAAGGATCCCGGAACCAGGTGGGAAAGCCCAGGCTTGTGAGGACACGGAGCACGAGTACTTCTCTCACAGCAGGATGCTCCATGACCTGAGCTGTGGGATATCAGTACTTCTGTCTTTCAAAAAAGGCTTGTTGCTCATGAGGTGGAATGAGGGATTGAAAAATCCCATCTTGTTCCCTTTCTTTTCTTGAAAAAGTGGCCTTAGCTTTTTGCAATACTTGAATAAGTGTGTACCTGCAGAAGACCTTCAGTAGCACAGTGATAGAGACCTTTTAAGTGACTATTCTGCAAGGAACTGTGTGCAGTTCCCACTTTCATATCCCTTTGCTACCTTCAGAATATTAGGAAAATACAGTACTTTTCAGCAGAGAAACAGTTGGCTCTTATAAGGTATTTAGTGCATCTGAAGTGTTTACAAACCAACTGAAATGGAGAAAAGCAAACTATCAAACTTATTTGTAATTTAAGCGTTAAATGCAAGATTATATACAGATGAAAGAGGAATACTGTAATTAACCTGCATTTACTAGGTTTTTTT